CACTGCGACCCAATAACAAAGAGTTACAGCGAAAAAACGGAAAGCAGGATACGAAGTCATAGCACCCAGAGGTCCTTTTGACACATGTGGTATCAGGTGGGACATTGTTTCCAGTTTTCATGTGAACTAGTTAGTACACGACTGGTTACATGTTCCCAAACAGATGTGTACGGGATGCTGAGTGTGATTGAAAGGTGCTTTGGTGAGGTACACACCTTCCATCTGTGTGTTGCCAGGCGACAGTCTATGAGCTGTGAAGATGAAGAGCAGGTGTAACACCTCGTTCCGGTACCTTCGCTTGTAAAGATGGACCTCACCAACTTGTAGTCATTTAACTACAATTGCTGACTGTAATTCGGTCAGTTGCTAACTGTAATTAACATACCTAGCAGAAAAAACATACGGGGGCACAACCACCAACCCACCGCTACGCACTACTACGCTCCACAATAATGCACTGATAATGTCACCTCGGTTGGTGATGAAATGTTTGCAATCATTGCCTAGCTAGCGAACAAGCCAACGACCACCATACGGGGAGTAACGTTGTTTCACTGAAATGAAAACCACAAAACGTGTTTCAAGAGTAGTTATGCCACATTTGCACTGTCCCTGAGAGCTACTGTCCAAATGACCACGTGATGAGCCTTGATAGTTTGTAGATAAATCATAGAATATGCAAAATTCTCCTGAGCAAAATATCTTTTCGAGCGCTTCGGTCGCTTCACAATGTGGACAGGCCAACTTGACGTGATGACAAGTGATGCACTCAAAATCTACCTACTGACTGGTTATAGGTAAGCATAAGTAGAGTAGAATAAAACTAAAAAATAAACTCTCACGATCATTGCTATGAAAGCTTTGGGGAGTTAGGGATTCTGACCACTTAACTGTATTCCATAACAATATATCGTTGACAGTACGAAGAGACTTTGGAATTGAAATGCAGATTTCTTCTTCTAAGTGAAGACGGTCTGTGTCGAAAGGCCGAGAATCGCTGTGCATACCAATTTCATTCCTATCGGGAATCATCAGCAGCATCAGGAAACAATTTAAATTTGATTTCACGCGTAAAAAATGAACCCACTTTTGACGTCCCTTGAAGGTCCCAGGTTTATGTGGTTCAGAAACGCAATGTTTTGCATCCATTTTTGATTGAAAAACCGAAAGTTTGGAGGTTCTCCCTAGAAAAAATTTGCGCCTCCCGTTGTGACCCCAAATCCCCATCGTTTCAATAAGGAATATCCTCAAGGCTTGTCGCTGAAGCCTAGCCCCATTGTAAGCTCTTTTCACTTCTCAGGTAGCTTTTCAGAGAAAACTCAAAATTTTGGCGTCGTTCTGTTCAGGACGTGACTTTATCTGCAAGATACACTAAAATGAACGCAGATTTTTGCTTCCTTCCTTCCTTGTTTCCAAGAGGAATTGTCCGATTCGCGGAATATCCTGTCTCACAGGAATCGTTAGGGGGTAACAAAAGAGAGATTATTCTAGGAGCCATAGTAATTAAGCCTACCCCACAAACCCAAGCAGGTGGAATAGAAGAGTCCACTCGCTCAGTTCGACAGATCATCTATCAAGAGCCTCAATCTCCAGGATCATTTTAACCAGAAGGTCTATCCATCCACAGTGTTTTCCGTGTCACCATTGAAAAACCTCCAGTTCACACCATTTCTGAGGAATGTTCATCACGCTAAAGCACTCACTTCTCCTCGGATGACAAAGGTGGATAGTATCCAGTTGTTTTTTTTTAACTTATTTGTCTTTACATTACCACTTTTCACATTTATTTTGGATTGCCGATTTTGCCATTCGAAATCCACGAAATAAGAAAACGTAAGACGGACAAAACGAAGAATACAATCCCTTGTATGTGGCTGGTAGATGAGAGCGAGATGATACTGCTGTTGATCGTTAACTCAATCTAAGGCTGTATAGGTTGTTCGCAACAGGCATAACTTATGTTGAATCCCCTTTATTTTTATGACCTACCACTGTATGTTTGATCAATAACTTCATGTCCTGAAAAAATGTGTGAACAAGTCTTAACTTTTCTTAGTAATAAGGTACAGTTCGCTTAAACGTTAACTGACCAAATAAGGCAGTTTTGATCATAATGAGAGTGGCCCTGACAACAAGCAGAGCAGGTTCACAACCGTCCATAATATGAGAAGAGACGAAGAACTGACATGTAGACCGTCAATTGGGTGAGTGAGTTGACTGAGTGGAAAGGTCGGTTTGCCCAAAGAAATAAGCCAATCAGGCTTTTTACCATGGCTTACCTTCAGAGGGGGCCTGATAACGTTACATTGTGTGATGTTCTTTCCTTCTACCGCTTTCGTTTTCATCAGCGGATCCTAATTTATCAATGTCTTTGGTGTTGCTCCAACCAGTCTACGAAGAGTGGTCACTCTCATTTAGCACAACTTATACTGGCCTACAAACATTGTAGTTTGAGCACAGATGAGACTATTTGGTCTGTTCGCCGAGCTTGGCAGTTGGATTGCAAACGTTTCACCACCAATCAAGGTGGGTGGGTCACCCACCCACTCAACCCTGCACCGACGATGTCACCTCGATTGGTGATGAAACGTTTGCAATCCAACTGCCAAGCTCGGCGAACAGATCAACAACCAAGCAGCGCACCAGAGCTACCTACATTCCATAACATTGCTAGATGAGACTATTTTGGAACATGGATAAAGTACAACGGATTAATTTCGCAACATCCAGTTAGTTTAGCATTGTCGCATTCCAGTGATAAGCTCAAGACACGATGAAAAGCCAGTTGAGGTGCTAGCACCCATCTACTGCCAACAACAGATTAGATCAGGTGATCCGTGGACGAAAAGGGCACTACATTAGGAATTTTATATGATTCAAATCGCAGATAAACTGAACCACTATGTTATCAACAGTGTTTTTCCGAGGGCACAACTCATTCTGAACCACTGAAATCCTTATCTAGAGGACTCATCCCAGTTGAGAAACGCTGCCACAGTCTTGAGTTGAAAACGATACCAATACAGGTATGTTCAGAATCCAACGGAAGCGCACCGTACAGTGAGTGTTCCTCTCCTGTTCGATGAGATGGTGCTTAGACGTCACTTGTGATGTATGGGCGGCAGTCACCGAATAAGCACAGCTGATTGACGAGAGGTTTGTCACTACCATCTTTGACGCAGTTACTTTGCTGAACACTTTCTGCTATTTTACTTAGATGTCAGCGACCTATTGTAATGGATATTACCAGCCTCAAAGAATATCAATCACGGAACATTTTGGTGCAAACCACTCGTGTTTTGGCACTATACCTTCTAACAAATATATAGGTTCACTCCAATGGAAATCACCTTCAAGACTCAAATCGAAGTGATTTCTTCTGAAAAAAGGGTTCTTACTTAGAATGAATGACTTGAGGAAGTATGTCTCAAGAATGCCAAACGGCATGACAGCCTAGTAGCACATGATGAGTGGATGTCATGATTATTTTAGGCGTAAAGATGGATGGTATACGGAATGGACAAACACAAAGGTGGTGGAACAGTATTCATAATTTTGTTGAAAACTTTTCAACAGCTCTTCTTGAAGCTCATCAGGAAGTTACAGCTCCGATGTTTCCGTCAACCTTATGTTCTAGTTGAACCCATGTTTTACGAAATTCGCTGAATAAGCCAATTTGGTTTCCACGGGTGAATCAACTGAATTCCAACTAAACCTCGCGTTTGTGATGTTCCTCAAGTGAATGTGCTGCACGACGGTTCGAGTTAGAAGTCAACAGAATGTCCACCAATTTAGTGTGCAAGTGAGTGTACTTCAGGAATTTACTTACATTAGGGTTTCTCTGCCTGAAATCAGAGGTGCGCCCTCCCCTGATGGCTTTGGGACAACCAGACCTTGTTCGCAGGTACGTACGATACCAACTCAATCTGCCGGCAGTAGGCCAGTGGCTTGACAGTGTGGTACACGTAAGACAAGCATACATATCTAAAAGCATCGATTTGCAGTTGACACTCCACCTCACTCTCCTGTAAATAACCGCACGGGGAAGCATCAACCTGATGTGAAATGAGATCCTTCACTGATTGGTGCCATCTGGATAACAATGACAGTTAACTTGGTGACTTGAAAATATCAAAAATTTGGGTGGCTTTTTCAGTTCCTCAACCATAAAAAATCCAAACAAGGGAGGTAAAGTTCGCAAATAAATTATTGGATAAGCGTTCTGGATTGGTTTGTATTAGAGGATAACTGAAGGAATCTATAGATTGGATTGGAATTTGAACGGTCACCAAGCTGTTTCTCTGCGTTATGCATCTATTCGTTTTGTTTTATACAACGACTTGACGAAGGTAGTCAGAGCGTCTAATGTTGTGTGTAGGGATCTTCATGGATTCCATGCAACAGAGAGGTACTAAGCTAGATGGTACGTGCAAACTGAGGTTCAGTTTCGGATCAGTTCACACTAAGTTGTGATAATATTGTTCAAAGACCAATAAAGGGAAAACTCTGGGTTTATAGTAGTGTAAAAACATTCCGAACTGTGAACTGTCTGCCCTACTTCACCTGACCGTAGTTGGTTCAGCTTCTGATTGGCTCTTTACTCGCTTGTTTGAGCCAGTGGCCGCTTGTTCGCAGTGCTCCAGTTGTTTATCTGCACTGCTGACTAAACCAGACGTACATCTTGATTTGAGTTAATCTTCGAGTGTACACCGAAATTCTCCGACGACTGGATGGCAGCCTTCTTTGAACACATGCAAAAGGTCATCAGTGATGGCATTTCAACGCAATATCGGCTGCGAACATGAGATCAAGTCCCTTATCCATACGGTGAACGCCTTGGGAAGGTACGAAGTAAAATTTTCGCTTCAAACACAATACTTTTTAAAGTAGAAATGTATTTGTACAATATAGTTTAATGTGGTCTCACAAAATAAAAATATTTGGAGAGCCTGTATAAATCTGAATTTAAGGCTCAATCTGTAATTTGGACACTCGTCTGCAGAATACTGTTTTCAAAAGAGAAAAGAAAAGAAAGAAAGAGCGAAAGAGACGAAGAAAGAGCAAATAAGATTCACACTTGATGTGAATGTCCTGAATAGAAGAAAGCATTTACCGGTGACCTCCTCACCCCATGGGAATATAAATCTGATTGGTTACGCCTGTGGATCACATTTCTGTTTCGGTGAATTCATGACTCAGTCGTCTGGTACATCGCTCCTGTACCCAACTGGGCAAAGTGACGTCAAATGGAGCACTGATATGGGTTACTGAACGGCTGCAACGACGTGCTGCAGGTCCATTACCAAACAGTCGCTTCTTTAAAGACCGAGTTGTGGTTGGTCTGCTGACAGAGGATGATCTAGTTGGCCGTTTGTCTTTTCCGGCCGGCGCGCGGTCTTCCTTATTCCAGGAGAGGGAACACATAAACAGGCTCGATATACTGTTCCCACACTCGGAAGATTGTTTCTTTGGCCCGGATTTCTCCAAATCTGCTACACTATGCGTGCTGGAGTGGACATCCAGTCGACCTGAGACACACCCAAGTTCTTTGTTACTTTCCGCGTTACTCCACATCGTAGAAGTGGATCCCATCAATGGACGATCTGTGCTATTTGACCCAGGCCAAAAAGGACGATGCAATGACGGTGGGGGAGATACTTTTTGGTTCACACTTCGAGTCATGTCAACTCGATCGTAACTTGTCGAAAGACTGGAAATGCTCTTGGACTTGGACTCCAACGATGCTGTGTTTGCGTACTGCACTCGCGACGCATAGTCATTTAACAATTGCAATCCCGCCTGAGCATATGGTGAGGGAAACAAGGCAATGTTATCGTGCGGGAATGGAAAAAACGGGTGAACTGATCAATTTGGCGTCTATGCTGCGCGTAAAGTCAAACTACGAATGACCGCCGAGAAACAGTGTTAAGAAGCCGAGAAAGAAAATGGTCGTCTGCGCCTTTGTCCGTGGTACACGATTCGAGAAGCACCCAGTTCCAAATACAAACAAACTACTGGTAGCCTCAATTTTGGGCCTTAACTAACTCATCAATGGTTACTGGGTTGCCATCTGTTGATCAGTATCAGAATACAATCTAGAAGAATATTTCTCATTGTATTTAGGAGAAATTTCGGAAGCTGGAAGAAGCAAGATTCTGTAGTGTTTAGGAATACACATCCCGATATAGTAATGGAACATACCACTCGTAAGTTTGTTGTCGAAGGGTTTCGGAAACCTACAGCTCCCTAGAAGAAGTTAGATAGTTGTTGATGAGATAATGCGAATGGTGTTCTGTGCCATGTCAGTAAGTTCCGCTCTGGATCAAGCTTAGCGTCAGTAGTTGAATGTCTTTGGCAAGGAATACAATATGTCGCTGATGTTACGTCACGTGAAAATTTATTGAACAAGTGGTCTAGAAGCACTAAGAAACAGGTTGCCTGCGATAAATGCATGTAAACCGGCTACCAGTCAGCTAAGCACAAACATTACAATAGTCTGGTCTTTACCCCCGATGCACAGATTGTGACGAAATACCTACACTACCAAGGGATTATGATAACCGTAAGGCGTACGCAGCCCAAGAAATCATGAAAGTTCAACTTCAATGCAGGCGAATCTGTCTAATTGAGTTGGATATGACCTGAGTCATACAGAGGAAGTTTCCTGCTGGAATTTTATCCTGTAAGTGAAGTTAGTGTATGCTGAAAAACTGAGAAGCACTGTACAACTGTTTCATCCTTTTTACGAATCGTCATCAGTGCTGATTTCATGAAACTCCAGGGAGTTTCGGATTCATGTTCTTGCGGTCAGCAGTTGAACACTTACTCCCCACAGGGTGCTGATTAAAAGTAAACTGAGCACT